TTTTTTTGGTTTTTTTGTTTTGGAGATAGGGTCTTCCTATATACCCCAGGCTGGCCTTGAACTCATGGTGATCCTCTTGCCTCAGCTTCCCACAAGTGCTGGGATTATAGGCTTACCTCCATGCCTGGCTCAAAGAACCATTTTATAAATTAAAAGCAACAGTTTTTTAACTATGTAAATGTTCCCTTACCTCATTCAATCGTTAAAATATTCAACTGAAAATCTGCAATGTATCTTTGAGTATCTATTTCTCATAACAAATCCATGCATGTCAACAAATTAAAAGAAAAGCAATCAGAGAGAAATCCTTACCAATAAGACCCCCAGGAGCAGCATACTGAAGATCATTATGTTCCGCAAAAAGTGATACAATTTTGGAAAAGATTGGTTTACACATGAGTTTTCCTTCACTATCTTTGGAAACAATACCAGGTCTGACTTCTATTTCCTGGCCCACCTGTAAATATACAATTAGCAATGACAATTATCATGGTACACAATGTTCAACAGGAGACCATAAAACTGCAAAGGCAATCCTTCTCTTTCAAAAATCACTTTTTTTTGTTTGAATACAGGATCTCACTATGTAGGTCACGCTGGCTTTGAACTCACTATGTATATCCTAGGTTGGCCTAAACTTGTGACAATCCTCCTGGCCTCAGCCTCCCAAGTGTTGGGAGGTGTGTGCTACCACACTCAGCAAAACATCACTACTTTTAAAACATGGAAAAACAGATGTGGAAGAGATCTTCAAAATCAAAGCCACTCTACTATATTGCTAACTACCTACCACACAAGCCTATTGCAACAAAATGTGCTCCATACTCCCAAGAAGCCTATAAACAGAGGTCAGACATATTCAACACCATGAAAAAAAGCTATGTGTGTTTATCTGTGGTACTGAGGATTGAACCCACAGCCTCTGCATTGAGGCAGTGCCAGTCCTTTTTTATTTTTACTGTTTTTGAGACAGGATCTATGTTGCTAAATTGTCCTGGCTAGGCTTGAACCTGCAATCCTCCTGCCTGAGGCTCCCAGAGTGCTGGAATTCCAGGTGAGCACCATCATGCCCAGCAAAAACTTTAATTTTCTTTCTTCTTTTTTTTTTTTTTTTCCCCAGTACCAGGAACCGAACTCACGACCTTGCGCTTGCCAGGCAGGCACTGTGCCGCTGAGCTAAATCCCCAGCCCCAAAACTTTAATTTTCAATTTGGATTATCCATACTTTTTTCCTAACTAAAACAAGGACAAAATGGCTTGGCATGGTGGTCCGTGTCTGTAATCCTAAAAATTGGGAGGCTGAAGCAGGCTGAAGCAGCTGTGAACTCAAGGTTATTTGGAGCTACACTGTGAATTCAAGGCCAGTCTGAACTAAACAGTGATACACCGGCTTAAAAACCAAAACCAAAACCAAACAAAACCAAACCCCCACAAAAACAAAATGACAAGGGCAAAATAAAAATACAAAAACCTAACAATCCAAACTCAGCTTACCTTCAGTACTCCCTTTAGGATACTACCACCAGCCACACCTCCCTTAAGGTCATCAACTTCACAACCAGGTTTGTTGACATCAAATGACCTAATAACTGAAAGAAAATTAAAGAAATTAAAGCCATTTTTATTAATTTTCACTTCAGGTGAAATGTTATTTTCCAAGTCAAGTTTTCTAAAAAGTAAAATATTACTACTGCAGTCCTTACTGAGTGTGGCCTTACTTACGATGAGAAAAATGGTAGTAACTTGAAAGTCATTAATACATGGAATATAATGCTGTATCTGTACTAGTGGAATATATGCAGCTATTTAAAAATGATAAGTTATATAGCCAGGCATGCTGGTGCATGCCTGTAATCACAGCACTCATGAGGCTGAGGCAGGAGGATCGCCGTGAGCTCAAGGGCCAGCCTGGGCTACATAGTGAAACCCTGTCTCAACACAACAACAACAAAGAGGTAGTTCCATGTCATGATCTGAAAGAAGGACACTCTTAATACTGCTAAGGAAAATAAGAGTTATAAAAAATAACATGGGTACTCTACACCCAAGAAAAAGAAAACTAAAAATATGTATAGTTACCGTCCATATCTGAGGGCTCTACATCTGTTATTCAACCATAGATCAAACTCATTTTTAAAACAATTGTGTCTGTAATGGACATGTATGCACTCTGTCATCACTCCCTAAACAACAGCACTATTTACACAACACGCAGCTTATACACTGCATTAAGTATTATACAGAACCTAGAAAAACTTTAAAATATACAGGGAGGGGGTGGGGATGTTACTCCGTGAGAATCTGTTGAACATGCACTGTTGGCATGTCCCTGGGTTGCACCCCAGCAACGAAAGGTTAAAAGTACACATGAGGGCCAGGCGTGGTGGCGCACGCCTGTAATCCCAGCACTCGGGAGGCTGAGGCAGGAGGATCACTGTGAGTTCGAGGCCCACCTGGGCTACAAAGTGAGTTCAAGGCCAGCCTGAGCTCCATGGTGAAACCCTGTCTCAAAAAGGCAAAAAAAAAAGAAAAAAAAAAAGTACACATGATATGCATAGGTTATACGCAAACACTATCCCATTTTATATAAGGCACCCCTATATTACATGGTCTGTACAATAGAAACTTACTTTTATTTGTTTTGTTTTTTTGAGTCAGGTTCTTGCTTTGCAGATCAGGCTGGCCTCGAATTTGTAGCATTCCATCTACCTCAGCCTCCTAACTGCTGGGATTGCAGGCATTTGCCAACACACTCAGCTAAAAATTTACTTTTACCCTTTATAAAATTTTATTTTATTCTTTTTGTCTTTTTGAGACAGGGTCTTGCAATGCAGTTCAGGCTGGCCTTGAGCTCACTTTGTAGCCCAGGTTGGTCTCAAACTCACAACGATCCTCCTGCCTCAGCCTCCTGAGTGCTGGGATTACAGGCGTGCGCTACCATGCCTGGCATTTTTTTTTTTTTTTTTTTTGGTACCAGGAATTGAACTCAGGACCTTGCACTTGCCAGGCAGGCACTTATGCCGCTGAGCTATATCCCTGGCACTCTTTCCCTTTTAAAACCACAATTCTAGCACTACATATCCTGCACTTAAGTCACCCAAGAGAACTTCTCCTACCAAACAGGATGTCAGATTTTTTTTTTTTTTGTCTTTTTGAGACAGGGTCTTGCTATGCAGTTCAGGCTGGCCTTGAGCTCACTTAGTAGCCCAGGCTGGTCTTTAACTTGCAAAGATCCTCCTGCCTCAGCCTCCAGCATGCTGGGATTACAGGCGTGTGCCACCACGCCCGGCAGGATGTCAGCTTTGAAAAGGCTCCCACAGGCTATGTAGGAACTATAGGTGGGTAATCAAGTACCAATAGCAGCACTTCATTAATGGTAAATTAACAACACCTGTATGGAAACTGCGACTCCCTAAAACACTATAGCTACAGAGGAGTTTATTACTCCATGCTGCTCACATAACACACCATATACTGAGCATAAGAAGGTTAAGTTTCTATTGCATTCAGGACTCTGCTCACCCCCAGTATTGCAATCTGGTGCTCATGGCCAATATGACCTCAGTGCTAACCAATTTCAAAAGCTTTTATGGATTTATTCTCACCTCTGCAGAAAGAAATATTAACACCCTTACAGGGGAATTGCCAATGTAGAAAAGACCAAATTGGCAGAGCGTGGTGGCACACGCCTGTAATCCCAGCACTTGGGAGGCTGAGGCAAGAGGATTGCCGTGAGCTTGAGCCAGCCTGCACTGCAGAGCAAAACCCTATCTCAAAAAGACAAAAAATAAAAAAAAATAGGAGACTACTATCACTTACCAATAAGTCGAGGTTCTGAAGTAAAGTCTCTAGGAGGTACTGGTATTTTCTTTACTATGTACTCACAAACAACTTCAATATTGTATTTCAGCTGGGCAGAAATTGGAATGATGGGAGCACCTTCCGCTACTGTACCTATAAGACAAAATTCAGAAGGATCAAAACAATGCAGTTTTATAAAACTTGTTCTACACATCCATTACCTAAAATAATTATGATTACCAAAATAGAGGCCTCAGCATCCCCAATGTTAACAACAAGTAGAATTAGATAGTTCTGTTTAGAAACATGGCAATGGTCTACCTTTTTTAATTCCTGGAAATGAATTCTATTTCCTTTAAGAGAAAAACTGTTAAAAATCACATTGGTGTATTTAATATTGTAAAGTAGTAAAACTGTTTAAAGATAAACTACATTCCTGGGAAAGACCACTTTATAGTTGAAAAGATTTCTAGTAACATGTAATTAAGGTCCCAATAAATGTCAAGATAAAATTACAGACTCTATGCTCATCAAAGACTGATGACACATATAATATTTGCACCTTATTAATCATATGTCAAGCAGGCTGGTCAGGTCAAAGAAATGGACCAAACATAATTAGATTTTAACCAAAACGATTTTTCTTTTTCATGATGACAGAATTGGTTTCATAGGAAGCTTTCTAACGAGAACAGCAACACTGACAATCAAAGGTAAACAATAAGATGCATAGCTTTCCTGAAATGAAACACTATACAGCTAGAAAAAAGGACACAATAAGGATTTTTAAATGCTTTTATTCATTTTCCTTACCAATGAAGATGGGGATGGGGCAGTGCTGGACAAGCACTGAGCTCCATCCCCAGCTCTGAGAGTCTTTAAAATCTGAGATAAAGCTTTGCAGAATCTAATTTCAATCCTAACTTTCAGCCAGCAAGAATATATTTTAGTTTATCAAACTCAGAAATATACATCTCACTAGTTACATTATCAAGTAGTAGAAAAATAAGTCTTAAGAACCCGAAGATTACCTTGTTTTAGATAGTGTACTATATTAAGAGGCAATTTAACATCTGGTATCTGGAGTAAATGCCTCTCAAAAGGACTCACAGATTTTTTAGATACGATGGCTTCTTACCTTGTACAAATGCAAGGATCTGTTCATATTGTTCTTTAGCCTGACTTTCTTTTACCAAATCAATTTTATTCTGTAGGATCAAAATATGCTTCAGTTTCATGATTTCTATTGCGGCCAGGTGTTCAGAAGTCTGAGGCTGAGGGCAAGATTCATTACCAGCTGATTGATGAGGAATAAAAAGGATGGGTAAGAATATGTAGAAATATTCAGACTAGGCAAATTCACAGAGACAGCAGATTGTGGATTTTTTTTTGGGGGGGGATATAGATTATTGGTTGTTAGGGATAGAAGGGAGGAAGGCCTGGGCCATGACTGCTAATGGGCACTGAGTTTCCTTTCCTGGTGATGGGAAAGTTCTGGAACTATATGTTGGTAATGTTATGACCACTACATTGTACTCAACGTCACTGAATTGTGTATGTTAAATCGCCAAATTCCTAAGTTTCATGTCATTTCTACATTTTATCACCCCCTCACCATCAAATGTGCTAATATCTAAGTCAGGTGACTTCAGAATTGCCAGCCCCACTCAGGGCAGAAGCCTTGGATACCACTGCTGGGCATCCACTCTGCTTCACCCCGTGCCTGCATCCACTGCAGCTTCCCATTCCTGGACCCACACAAGAAACAATCAGCAAGCCTGGCTTCTCAAGTTCCGTCTTCAGCTTCTGCTCAGGCCTAAGGTACAGACTGGCCCCAGCCAGTCTTAGAGATGTCCTGGCCTAGAGATGTCCTTTCTCCCGAGAAAGAGAGCAATTAAGATGGGAAGACACTTAGTGCCACACAGGAATTCTAGTACCAGGGGCTGTTCCTAACAATGAAAGGGTAGAGTGCTAACTGAAAATAATCAGGAATATATTACAAATGAACAGGCCTGTTTTGTTCAACATGCTAATAATCACCACCGCCTGGTGTCTTTTAACAGCCCACATAAGGACGCACAACCCTGGCCTTGAAAAGCCCCGTGCTGGACAGTAGCACTCATTATGCATGATGTTTACATCTAAATAAAACAATTCTATGTCTGCAAGCAGACAGCTCCTGTGCTCGCTTCGGCAGCACATATACAAGCAGACAGCTCAGAGAAAAAGCTTTCGCTCAGAGAAAAAGCTCTTTTTTTTACAAACTGTTTTGTCCCTCCATCCCTCCTTCCCTCCTTTCTCTTCCTTCCTTCCTTTCTTTGAGGCAGCGTCTCACTATGTACCCCAGGCTGGCCTTAAGCTGATTACAAGCATGCTCCACCATGACCAGCTCACATAAATTTTAAACTCATGTGATTTCAACGGGGAAAACACACTGATTTGTTTCTGTTGGATACCATCATGAGTTCTCAGATGCTATCAGCCCCAGTTTTATCTTGTTTAGTTCCTTGTGATAGCTGATAGGAAGGAATGTCATCCTGGATGACAGTAAGTTTCCATTTATGTCACTCTTAGGTAATGGATGCAGCCTTAGTTTCCCCCTTCAACATTTCCCCTTGCATTTGTTCCACACTGACTTGTCCAAACTAATTCTCATATATTTACCGATCAACAGGAGAGCTGCGTCCATCACTGCTGCACCGTTCAGCATAGTTGCCATCAAAATGTCGTGGCCAGGACAGTCAACAAAGGAAACATGTCTACCAAGAAATAACAGTCAGTCTGAAAATTGATACTTAAACATGCAATTTAGTTAGTTTCTTTCTGGCACTGATGATAGAACCAGGCCTCACACATGCAAGGCAAGTGTTCCACCGTTAAGCCACATCCCCAGTCCTATTATTATTATTAACTTTGAGACAAGGTCTCACTATGTAGTGCAGGCTGGCCTCAAACTCACAACATTCCTCCTGCCTCAGTGTCCAGAGGGCTGGGATTACAGGCATACGCCAACATGCCTGTCAGCTTTTTTTCTTTTGAGACACAATCTCATTAAACTACCTAGGCTGGCCTCAAACTTGTAATCCTCTTGTTTCCACTTCCTAAGTAGCTGGAATGGTGGGTGTGCTCCATCATGCCCAGCTCAGAGTATAGATTTCTTAAAGTTAAATTACTTAGGAAGCTATCATTATAAAATGGTTACAGGACTTGGTTTTTCTAGACCTAGAAGTAAGATCACTAGGGCAACTCATTTGGGAACCCTCTTGTCTCTCAGGAGCTATTCCTATTCCCCATTCCTTTTCCCAATAAATCTTCCTACTCATTAAAAAAAAAAAAAGTTCACTAGCTGAGAATACAATCACTGCAGATCATTAAAATCAACTGAAGTTAGCTACATATAGAAATAACTGGACATAGGTACTCTCATCCAATTAAAGTGAGTATGGTATAGAATAATGGTACACAGAACTTATGCTAAAAATGTCATCGATTTGAAAGCTAAAGCCTAATGACATGTAAAAACCACATTCATAGAATGAGGACTATAGCCAGGCATGGTGGCACACAGCTGTAATCCCAGCACTTGGGAGGCTGAAACAGGAGGACTGGCATGATTCAAGGCCAGCCTGAACTATGTAGAGACCCTGTCTCAAAAAAGAAAAAAAAAAAAAAAAAAGAAATTAAAAAAAAGGAAAGAAATAAAAGAATGAGGACTATTTGAAAAAATAGTTCCCCTTTGAAAAACTGAAATTGTACACATGAAGTGGAGAAGATAGCATTATTTTAGTAAAACTACCATATGCGTTCAGAAACATGACTTTTTAAAAACCGTTCACATTCCCACAAACAGGATCTGGGTCGGCAAAGTAGGGCCCTTAGGCCAGACCTGGCCTCTCACCACAGTCATACAGGCACATATTATCTGTGTATGCTTTGGTGAGGTAAGAGCAGAGATAAGGTCTTGCAACAGTGACTCTATGGCCTACAAAGCTGAAAATATTTACTATCTGACCCTTTCCAGAAAAAGTATGCTGATTTCTGATAAGGGCCAGGACTAGACAAGTAAGGCAATTACCTGAGAGGCAAAATTTAAGAGAGGCCAAAAAACTAGGCACTTGTCCGGTGTGGTGGTGCACACCTCTAATCCCAGCACTACGGGAGGCTGAGGCAGGAGGATTACTTTGAGTTTCAGGCCAGCCTGGACTACAAAGTGAGTTTAAGGTCAGCCTAAACGATCCTGTCTCAAAAACAAAACAAAACAAAACAAAAAAACTAGACACTCAAAATAAATACTTAAATGTAGCATTAAAAAAAAAAAATCAGCTGGTGTACATGTATAATTCCAGCACTAGGGAGGCTGAGGAAAAGTGAGTTCAAGGCCAGCCTGAACTGCACAGTAAAAGTCTGGCTAAAGACAAAAACAAAAAACAAAACAAAAAAAACAGGGCTGGGGAATGTAGTTCTGTGTAAAGACCCTGGGGTCAATGTCCAGTACCACAGTGGGAAAAACGAACAAACAAA